ATTTCTGAAGAAGGGTCTAGGCCCAAAACGTCAGCTTTCCTGCTCCTCTGATGCTGCTTGGCCTGCTGTGTTCATCCAGCTCTACACCTTGTTATTTCTGTAATAAATTGTTGTCGGTTTTCAACTTCTGGTCTAATTTTGAATAAAATATGCTGTACAATAGCTCATTCAGCCTACACAACATGTTAATTTGCTAATTTGTTAAAATGTTACTGTAGCTTTCAAAGTTCAATATTTTTGGAAGGAAGTGGAATGAATTTGTTTTACCAATACACAATCGAAAATGGTAATTGAATTGAATAAACTGACTTGGAGCACGTTCTTATGTTAAACCATCTGTGGCCCGCCTTAAAAAGGAAGGACAAATTTACATTTGCATTACACCTTTCACAACATCAGCACTACTGAGAACAGACTACAGTTCAAAGGTACTTAATTGGGAGTGGTGTTGAGACGTAGGAAAAACAAAACTAAATGCTGCCATTTTACTTTTGATTTGGTGGAAAAGCACGTTTTACACATTAACAAATTGATGCAAGGTTTAGTTTTATTTTTGTACTAAGCATTGGGCTCTTAGCTCAGCTGGAGTGGTTTAGGCAGGTGCTGAATGGGCATGAGTTGCCTCCTACAAGGATGTTTTGAAAGTATGATGGTGAGATAGCTTATTGGCATAACCAACAGAGCAGATGCGAGATTAAGGAATGGGTCAATCATCTTGGTAGCTGAAGATCAGCTATGTGACAGGACACAGGAGTTGTGGGGGAGTGGGGGGCGGCAACAGGCAAGAAGGAAAACCAGGAGAAGTTGCAGAATAAAGACTTCCCTTCCTCATGTGAGGTGGGTGGGGCGTGTGGTGGGGGTGTTGAAGATTTCTAAAACTGATGCTGATTTTGGTCTACAAAGATATTCATGGTTGTGGAGCCAAGGTGGGTAGATGGAGTAAAAGTACTTAATCAGCTACATTTCATTAAGTGGCAGAACAGGGTTGAATCGTATACTCCTGTTCTTATGTTTTTTCATTAGAGCAAATAATGTTGCAGAACAGTTATCTGTCCCTTCTTACAAAAATTAAATAGTTTGAAAAAAACTTTGCAGTAAGATTTGAAGCTGTAATTTAATAGTTTAACCATAGCGCACTCCAGGAAATTTGCTATTTTTCGCATTTCCATTCGTTTCAGTGGGACGGACTGCAGCTGATCTTACAAAACTGAAAGCAGGTATGGAACAAATGAGTTTGTAAAATCAAAATGGCCTTGGGTTTGAACTCACTTAATGTTGAAATGTTTGTGAATACTTGCAGGAGTTACATTCACCTCATGGTAAAACCTGCTAAAGCTCAAAACATTTCCATGTGCATCACAATTTCTCTTTGCTACAATGTTATAAGATCGGCCTGCTCTGCAAATTGGATTCTGTTTTAATCAAGGGCCAAGGTTCATCTTTAAATTTGTTAACCTGAATTTCAGAGTGGGTTGTTAGTCTAGCTTTGAATAGAATACTGTTTTATTTTCATAAATATGTTTGAGTGCCACATTTACTCGTTCCTTAACTTCTACTCATAAACCAACTACCTGTTCAAAATCATAGAACAGCTACAACACAGAAGGAGGCCATTCGACCATCATGCCGATGATGGACACAGTGAGAACAGAATCTGATTTTCATAGATGTGAATCATTCATAACTTTCCTCATGAGTTAACAATGCACGAAAGAAAGGCTATGCCTGTGGTAAAGTATAATTTTAAAAACCTCATTGAGCATTCAAAAACAAAGTTGCTGTTTGTTTGAATATGTTAGTGCAGTGAGAGAACAGGTTCTACATGCTAAATGGCTACTCCTCTTCCTATATTGCTAGTCTCCAATTGCCTCCATTAGATATCTTCATGTCTTTTGAAAATGTCCCCACATATCATTATATCAGCCAAATGTTTTTAATCAATGTCAAATGGCCAAATGTAGATCTTGCATCAAATGCAGTGGGATAAAATTTGATCATCGGTTTCATCTTGTAAATGAACATTTAGTTGTTATTGGTCTTTTTAATGTAGCTCATTTCCAACATGTCTTTAAACAGTCTCAAAAAAAAGTGGTCTTTTTCCCTCAAATTTGAAAATAATCAGCTATTTCAATTTTCTTTTTCTCCAAAGCGATCGTGGCAGCCTATGAAAACAGCTCTCAGCATGACCCCAACTCAAATAACGCCATGCTGGGAGTCCATGCTTCTGCCTCAGCTATCATCCAATATGGGAAGATCGCCCGTAAGCAGGGCCTGGTGAACGTAGCCCTTGATATCCTCAGTCGCATCCATACTATTCCCACCGTGCCCATCGTGGACTGTTTTCAGAAGATTCGACAGCAGGTCAAGTGCTACCTCCAGCAGGCTGGAGTTATGGGCAAGAATGAATGTATGCAGGTAGGCAATGTGGCCATTCCTTCACAAAAAAAAAAGGGTTGAAGATTCTGGTTGAGTCTGCTGGAAGAGAACAAGCACAAGTCCACTTGGACACTTGAATAATTGCCTGTGGTGAGGTTTGTGACAGAAGAGTCACTGTCTATTTGCAACTACTGTAGAAATTAACCCAAAAATTATAAATTGGATTGTTTTGAATGAAATGCAGTGACAGAAATGATTTGAAAAGTATGATCTATAATTGCATAAAGGTATGTAACGTAAGGAATTTGGAAGTATTCATAAAGATCAGTGTTGCTTTTACATTACATTGCAAAATCAATAACTTATTAAGAATAATTGATCATCTGTTGAGTTACAAAACTGTCAGGTAATAACTGCTGTTCAGAGCCTGATCAAACAAAAGGTCACTAATTGAGCTATCTTGAGGCCTCAAACTTCTCTTTTTATAAAGGCTGCTTTGCCAGACTTTTACGTATAAATCAGTACATCATACATTCGATCTTTAAATTTTTTTCACACAGGGTTTGGAAGTTATTGAATCTACAAATCTGAAGTATTTCACAAAGGAGATGACAGCTGAATTCTACGCACTGAAGGGGATGTTCCTTGCGCAGATTAATAAGTATGTAAAAATGGGAGGCAACTTAGTCCACTCCTTTTTCCATTAAGCAGTCGACTTCCACTATTTGCTAGTAGAAGCACGCATTTATTTAAAAAGAATTGTTTTATATTTGATGTAAATACAAGAAGCTCTTGCTTTAACTTGTAATTCTGTTTTACTCTTACTCTTATTTCCCCTATGCATATCTCTCATTCTGGGCAACCTTGAATTGCTACTCTCTATTCTTACTAAAGCATTTTGTACAAGGTACAGGCAGTTTTACAGAGAAGGGTCTTCTTGTTTTCCACCCTGGGATATGTTTGCAAAATCTCTCAATCCAGTGAGGACAGAGGAAAGAATTAGTGCTGCAAAACTGTTCACTAAATTTGATGATGCATCGTTCAGTTTATCTAATGAGAGATGCAGTATAAGTCAATGACAGACTTTTCTTTCACTGTTTTTCCTTTCCCCTTTTCACTCTCTTCAGTGTAAAGCCTTGGATCTCTAATCACTTCATCAAATACTCCTGCTGGGAACTGATAAAAACTCACCCAACTGAAACAAGCTTGCTTCGTTGATCAGGAATCTTGGGCTTAAATTCATAACCTTGTTTGGGAGTTAAACTGTCAACTGCTTGAGCGGTTGTACCTTGAATATATTCCTTTTTCTATTCACCATTTGCTTCTCAATGATGTTACATTGTCATTGCCTGATCATATTTGTCCAATATTTTTGTCATCAAATGATCTATGTATGTCGGATAACTTAATGTCACCTCATGACTTTTTACTTTTCCCCCTGCATTGTATACTTTTGACCTAACAGTGTATAATTTGTATGTCAAACACATGTTTTTGAATATGACACTCTGGATACTATCTTTAAAACTAAAGCAAATTCTTTGAATGCTGGAAGTCTGAAGAATTCATGAGATAATGAATCATTGAGCAGCTCAGGCAATGTCTGACAGAGGAAGGTGGGGTTCAAATTTTTCTGTTCAATGATCAAATTCTGTGCATAATGTATCGCTCTGAAATGCTAACTCTTTCTCTCTTCACTGATGCCACCTGAGCTCTGTGTCACCTAGGTTTTGCAGCTTTCGTTTAAAGTTAGCTATATGTAGAGCCATGATGTAATTATTTTTTATAATGAGGTAAACATTCTTGAAGAATACGAAGCATCCAAATTCAACCAATTCCATTCCTCAACTTGACTTCCAAGCACTTCACACTACATGGTGTCTCCCTCAAGTTGTTTGACATTCTAGGACTAAACTGATTAGTTTGTATAGCTCCCACCCCCACCACAACACTCTCTAACAGGCTGAACTCCCACCTACCCTGCTTGATGCGAGGAAATGAGCTTTATACTAGCTGCTACATGATGTATGGATTCTTTCGGAGCAAGTTCCATCTGCTAATTTTATGTGGGCAGCATATCCTTCATTTTCAACTTTGAAACAAAACCATAGTCGTGTAAAGTTTGAGACTGCAGTTTCATGGATATTTCAGCAGTGCTGAACCTCCACAGTGAGGCTTCAATGAACATTCATTTATCCTTGTAGTAAGGTATGAAAACTTAACACATCATTTGTCTTGAAAATGCTCCATAGGGGAAATAGGTTAACTTTGAAAGAATTAGTTAATTTTAAATTCACTTTTTAAGTTTTTCCATGAATTATATTGTTTACTACTTCATGCTTTTACTGATGTATTTTTGCAAGTTTACCTGCCTATCATGCTTTTTAGTAAGAGAACCGCTTCCTTCTCACAATAGCGAAAGTGATGTTTTAATGCCGCACAGACATTCATGTCATTGTTTGAAAATTCATAACTGAAACTATATTTGACAAGTAATTCAGCTTGCATTTTGCTCACTGTTTAAGCAAACAACCCTTCTACAAAGAGAGCCAACTATGTTATAGTGGGCACTGCAATCTATTTCAGTGTGACAGTTTCTCATTAATAATGTAACTGTGATATTTCACTTCCTACAAAAAAAATTAACCCCGAGATTACCAACTAGCTGAGGGTAAATTACTGCGTGCTTGAGCTATTTGATTTTACAGTTTTCCTTGGGGCCCCTGCTGTCAAAGGTGTGGCCACCACTGGTGGAACAAGAAAAATCAGAAACGCTCAACATCTCTATTAGAACAGCATGGATGTCTCGGAGGGTAGTAAAGTGAGATGGTAGAGATGGGGAGGGACAAGGACGTAGATGGATTTGAAAACTTGGGTCAGATTTTTAGAATGGAGGTTTTTGCCTAACAGGGAGCAATGGGATGGAGGAATCTCTGTGATTTAAGACACAGGCATCAGATGACCTCAGTATTACAGAGGATAGAATGTGGTAGACCATCAAGGAGTGCATCAGAATAGTTAAGTCTAGAGTTAAAAAAGGCGTGGATGTGATTTTCAACATCTGTATGGAATTGAAGAAGGGGTACAATCTGGTGATGGAACAGAGGTGGAAATTAGTGATTGTCTGGCTGGAAGCTCGACTAAGAGTCAAATATAATGTCGACGTGAACAGCTGTGTTCGTCCATGTGCAATTGCTAGTGAGCTGGTTGCAGATGGTGGCTACTGAACAAGATAATACTGTTCAAATTCTAGCAAAAGTCATAATAGCCAGAAGGTACAAAAGCTAATCATGGAAAATAAAGTCAGCTGTATCCTTTTATTCCATCGTTTATATTTTAAAACAATTTATAACATGAATATTTGGCCCAACAAGCCCACATTAGGGTGCTCCTGTAAGTATTTAATGTAGCAAAAGTTAAGTTTACTACTTCTTTCAAACTGCTCTTTCCTGGAATTTATTTTTCAATAGACTTGGTGTTGTGTTAAATAAGGCCCATTTTCTAAATGGACCCATGGGTTGTTAGCATTTCTGGCTGGGTCAGCATTTATAGCCTGTCTCTAGTCCTTCAGTACAGGGTGGTGAGCTGCCTTCTTGAACTGTTACAGTCCATGTGCTGTAGGTTGTCCCAAATTTCTGATAGGGAGGAAATGCAGGATTTTGACCCAGGGACAGTGAAGGAACGGCGATATATTTCCAAGTCTGAATGGTGAGTCACTTAGAGAGTAACTTGTAGAGGCGGTGTTCCTGTGTATCTTTTTGCCCTTGTCCTTTTAGATAGTAGTAGTTGTGGGTTTAGAAGGTGCAGTCTAAAGATCTTTGGTAGATTTGTGCAGTGCAATTGTAGATAATACATACTGCTGCTACTGAGTGCTGGTGGTAGAGGGACTGGCACCATATCCACAAACAATCAGGTGAACTGCTTTGTCCTGATGGTGTCAAGCTTCGTGACTGTTGTTCAAGCCCTACCCATCCAGGCAAGTGGGCAGTATTCCAGTATACTCCTGACTCGTGCCTTGTAAATGGTGGACAGGCCTTCGGGAGTCAGGAGATGCAATATTCCTAACCTCTGACCTGCTCTTGTAGCCCACTATTTATACAGTGAGTCCACTTGAGTTTCAATGGCAACCCCTCCCAGGATGTTGATATTGGGGCATTCTGTAATGGTAATACCATTCACTGTGTAGGAGCGGTGCTTAGATCCTCTTTTATTGAAGAGGGTTATTGCCTGGCATTTGTGTGGCACGAACGTTGCTTGCCATTTGCCAGTCCATGCCTGTATATCGTCCAGATCTTGTTGCATTTGGACATGGACTGCTTTAGTACCAGAGGAGTTGTCAGTAGTGCTGAACGTTGTTCAATCATCGGATAACATTCCCACCTCTGACCTTATGATGGAGACATGGTCATTGATGAAGCAGCTGGACCTAGGGCAGTACCTGAGGTATTCCTGCAAAGACGTTCTGGTGATGACTGACCTCCAAGAAGAGATGACACCAAAATTGGTCATGCAGTGGACAATGAAGAAGGCTATCTCAGAGTGCAACGGGATCTCAATCAAATGGGCCAATATGCAGAGGAGTGGCAGGTAGAGTTTAATTTATATAAATGTGAAGAGTTGCATTTTGGTAAGGCAAAACAGGCTGGACTTATACACATAATGGTAGGGCCCTGGGGGATTTTTGCTAACCGAAGAGATCGAGAGGTGCAGGTGCCTAATTCCTTGAAAGTGGAGTCTTAGGTGGACAAGGTGGTGAAGAAGGCATTTGTCATGCTTGCCTTCATTGGTCATTGCATTGAGTATTGGAGTTGGGTGTCATGTTGGTGAGGCCACTTTTAGCATACTGCATTCAATTCTCATCTCTCTGCTATAGGAACGATGCTGTGAAACTTGCAAGGGTTCACAAAAGATTTACAGGGATGTTGCCGGGATTTGAGGGTTTGAGCTATAGGGAGAGGCTGAATAGGCTTGGGTTTTCTTCCCTGGAGCATTCGAGGCTGAGGGGTGACCTTGTGGAGTTTCATAAAATCATGAGGGGCAGGGTAGGGACATCCAAAACTAGAGACATAGGTTTAGGGTGAGAGGAGAACAATTTAAAAGGGACCTAAGGGGCAGCTTGTTCACGCAGAAGCTGGTGCATGTATGGAACGAGTTTCCAGAGAAAGCAAGTACAATTACAACATTTAAAAGGCATCTGGATGGGTATCTGAATAGGAAGGGTTTACAGGGATATGGGCCAATTGCTGGCAAATGCAACTGTATCAGTTTGGGACATCTGGTCGGCATGGACAAGTTGGATTGAAACGTCTGTTTCTGTGCTGTTTAACTCTGAATCTATAACCATGACCATCTTTCTACGTGCCAGGTACAACTTCAGCCACTAGAGAGTTTTCCCTCTGACTTCCTGGACTCCAGTTTTGCTATGGCTCCTTGATGCCACACTTGGTCAAATGTGGCCTTAATATCAAGGGCAGTCACTCGCTCCTCACCTCTGGAATTCAGCTCTTTTGTCCATGTCTGAACTAAGACTGTAATGAGATTAGGAGCTGAGTGGTCTTGGCAGAACTCAAACTGGGCTTTGCTGAGCAGATGCTGCTTGATTGCACTATTGATTACACCTTCCATTACTTTATTTTACTGATGATCAAGAGTAGACTGATCTGGCAAAATTGGCCAGTGTGGATTTGACCCCGCTTTGTGCACAGGACGTACCTGGGCAATTGTCCTCATTGTCAGTCAATGCCAGTATTACAGCTATACTGTTCTTGAACAGCTTGGATAGGAGTGCAGCAATTTCAAAACCAAGTCTTCAGTGCTATTGCTGGAATGTTGTCTGAGCCTATAACCTTTGCAATATCCAGTGCCACCAACTATTTCTCTGTTTCACGTGGAGTGAATCGAATTGGCTGAAGACTGATATCTGTGAGGCTGGGGACCTCTGGCAGAGGCCAAGATGGACAATCCGCTTAGCACTTCTAGCTGAAGATTGCTGCGAATGCTTCAGCCTGTCTTTGCACTGATGTGCTGGGCTCCCTCATCAATGACGATGGGATAGTTGTCGAGCTGACTGTTCCAGTGAGTTGTTTGTTCGTCCACCACCATTCATATGTGGCAAGACTGCAGAGCCTAGATCTGCTTTGTTTTTTGTGGGATTGCTTACCTCTGACTATCACTTGCTGATTATCCTGTTTCGCATGCAAGTAGTTACACTTTGTAGCTTCATGAGGTTAACTCCTCATTTTCAGGTATGCCTGGTGCTACTCTTACACTTTTCATTGAACCAGGGTTGATCCCCTAGCTTGACAGTAATGGTTGAGCGGAGGAAATGCTGGGCTGTGAGGTTGCAGACTGTGTTGGAGTACAATTCTGCTGCTGTTGATGGCCCACAGTACCTTATGGATACCTAGTTTTGGGTTGTTAGATATCTTTTGAAGTCCTGTCTCAATTAGCACGCTGATAATGCCAAACAACACGATGCAAGGTATTCTCAATGTGAAGGCAGAGTTTTGTCTCCACAAAGACTGAGTGTGCTGTTTTTTCTTGATACTGTCATGGACAGATGCATTTACTGGATGTAGTGATTGTCAGAGGGGTGCAGAATTTGATAAAATGCATCCTGACATTTGATCTCCTGTGCACTTGCTGTCACTATGCTGTAGCTTAAAGGGCATGTTAACCCAGGTTATCCAGTTTCTGGATAGCCAGGGACTGAACTTGCCCTGTGTGTTGAGGCCTCTTGGAAATCCTGATTTTGTGGTAATTTTTGCGAAGCCTAAATTTTCAACAGGCTGGTGTCTGGAAACCCCTGAAAAATTTCCGAACACTGAGTTAGAGTGGGTGACTTTGAAGTGTTCCCACTTACTTATCTTTTTAATTAGCAGGAAAAGTTAGAGAAATTAAAACCTGCTCTAACTCCAGGTTAACTATTAAACTGATCCCTTCCCAGTCATTCTCACTGTCTGACCCCCATTTGGTTGACCTGATTCAACTCCTTCGATCCCCTCACGCCACATCCGGATCTGATCTGATTAGCCCCGAATCAAGCTACCCTCTCAGTTGTCCTGCATACCCCGTTGCCCTGTATTTCTGTCCACCCAACACTCGCCCTAATACAGTTACACAGTTACCTTTAGTATCTCCAGCCCCTTACCCACTTCCCTGATTATCTCCTATTCACTAACCCACTGGAAAAACTCTTGATGCCCCACAGCTTTCAATGTTTTAGTAAATAAATAAATGTACCAGAATACAGTAGGTTAATGCTGTCTAAAAGAGAGTGAATGGCTTCCACTAACTGGATTAAAGGTACACTGTGGATTTCTCCAGATTTGGTGTTGGAGCTTGGACCCAGAAATGAAGGCTGCGTGCAGAATTTAAAAAAAAATGTAGGGCCAAAAGCAGGATTGCAAGAAGCACCAATGCCATTGAAAAATTTGGGCCTTTGAGTCTTGTCAGCATTGGAATTCAGATAAAAACATAACTTATTTGTCAGCAAAAGATATGATTACAATAGAGAATTAATGCGACACTTAAGGCAGTGCCCAATATGCTTTATACTTAAAGGATTTTGTAGTAGTTGAATTTGGAGTATTCTAGTGATGGTTCATTGTGCAATGTGTTCAACTGCAGCGTGCGTAACAATTAAGACGTAATTGTTAATTTAGAGCCTTGATTTTGTTTCTGATCACCAGCAAAGTCATTGTACAGTGTGTCAAAATCTGTAATAGGGTTATTTAACTTATGTGAAAGACTGTCATAAGTTATTGATTTGCGAATTGTAGGCTTTTTGAGAGACGTGAACAAAATAGGCAGCATAGTGCGGTGATGCATCTCAGCAAAGAAATGGGTACCACCAATCTTTGTAGTGATTAAATCAAAATGTGTAATTGGGGGAAAAAAACTTTAAACTTGAATTATAATTATATAAAAGTCACATATCCATACAATAGTGAGTTGCAGTGTATTAATTCCATTGAATGTTGCGAGTATAATCTCAGCACAGAATTGATGAATATCAGAAATTTAACAATGGGGTTTAATGGAGAGATGGTCTGCTATATTAAAAGGGAGAAAGACCTACATTTAATATAGCATCTTTCACAACCTCAGTGCTTTACAGCAAATGAAGTATGTTTGATAGTCACTGCAGAATAGGAAAGTGTTAAGAGCCCAAAATCGAAATTGCTGGAAAAGCTCAGCAGGTCTGACAGCATCTGTGGAGAGAAATCAGTTAACATTTCAGGTCAAGTGACCCTTTCTCAGAACTGATGGTAGCTAGGAAAATAAAAAGCGAAATAGCTGTGGATGCTGTGAATCAGAAACAAAAACAGAAGTTGCTGGAAAAGCTCAGCGGGTCTGGCAGCATCTGAGGAGAAATAATAGTTAATGTTTAGGGTCTGGTGATCTTTCCTCAGAAAGTTATTGAACCCGATATTGAGATTGGAAGGTTACAGGATCCCCAGGTGGAAAATGAGGCGCTGTTTAATAACTTCAGGGCTTGAGCTAGCCCATGTCATACCCCAATGCCCACAACCAGGCCTTGATATCTCAGTCTGCTATTACACACCACCCATTGTTAGCCTCTGATGGTCCTTGTTAATAGTTATTCACCCTCCCAGCCACATCGTTATCCTTTATAAAAACCGAAAGCACTGCAGTTGCTGTAAATCAGGAACAAAAACAAAGTTGCTGGAAAAGCTCAGCAGGTCTGGCAACATCTGTGAAGGGAAAAACAGAGTTAACGTTTCTGGTCCAGTGACCCTTCCTTAGAACGTTATCGTTTGTCTGTCTAACTGTTCTCTCTCTTGTTGGGCTCTATCCCTCCTCCCACCCTATCTTTTGCACATAAACCGACATTTCCTAGCTATCATCAGTTCACTCGATCTGAAACGTTAACTCTGATTTCTCTTCACAGATACTGCCAGACCTGCTGAGCTTTTCTAGCAATTTCTGTTTTTGTCTCTGATTTACAGCATCCGCAATTCTTTGGGTTTTTGTAGGAAAGTGATAACCAGTTTGTCCGCTGGAAGTTCCTACTAACACTGATGAGCTAATGACCAGATAATCTTTTTTTTAAAATATGGCTATTGGTTCAGGGATATATATTTGACGCACAGTGGCGAGAACTCTCCAACACTTCAAAATACAGTGAAATCTTGACAATTGAAACTCTGATTCAAAATTCCACACGTGTTGAAGTTATCAACCATTCCTGCAGCCATATAGCAAAAGACAATAACAGCAGTTAGCCAGACTTCTGCACTGGTTGAATTAGATAATCCAAACAGTTGTTCAGCACTGGCAGCGACAGTAATCCCAAAATCCTTCACACAAGAGGTCTTTCTGTGGCTCAAATGAGCCTGCTTGTTCTTTCCAGGACTATGTGACAATGCTGACCAATCAGCATATTCATTAGACCTAAAAACACTCAATATAAAACACCAGACTAATCATTTCACATCGAGTGAAGAAATGCGAGAGCATGAAATGATGGTGAAACCTGTGAGAAAGTTAAAACTTGTCAATTGGAGAGAAGATGATGCTGATGGAGCTTATGAATTGTGATGCATAACTAAATCTCAACAAGAAGATAAGCGTGACAAATTAGCTATACTTTTATTGAACAAATGAAAGAAAGATTTACTTTACTGTTTGCATGCTTTCACCACTGTGTTAGGGTTATGTTGAGTGCATTTACAGCAATGGTTTGATACATAGCATTTCAAACAAAGACTGTATTTGTATGGGTGTCACATTTTGTAGAGACACATTCATGTGGTACATTGGGCTTCAGTGGCTATCGTGAATCTGTTACCTAGGGATTTGAGTCATTGAGTGTTGACGGTTTTAGGATAGGATTGGACTTCTTCATGTTTGCAACTGATATTTGGTATACGTTTATTTTCCTGTTACATAGATCTGAGGAAGCCAACAAAGCATTTTCTGCAGCTGTCCAAATGCACGATGTACTGGTAAAAGCTTGGGCAATGTGGGGTGATTACCTGGAGAATATCTTTGTCAAAGAAAGACAGCTTCACCTTGGTGTATCTGCCATCACCTGCTACCTGCACGCTTGTCGCCACCAGAATGAGAGCAAGTCGAGAAAATATCTTGCCAAGGTGAGGATTACAATGCAAAGACCAGTGTTCAGCAAAACCCTTGAGAATATCAATATTAAGCTTGCAGCACTTAAGACGATGACATACTTTCCAACCGTATTTTTGCATCCTATACTGGAAGGATGTCAGGCTTCAGAACAAAGATTTGGGAAAGTGGTGGTATTGTCACTGGACTAGTAATCCAGAGATCCAAGCTAATGCCCTGGCAGCATGGGATTGAATCCCACCAAGGCAAATGGTGAAATTTGAAATCTGTAAAAATCTGGAATTATAAGATAGTCCAAAGCAACCATGTAGTAATCATTGTTTTTTGTCATAAAAACTCATCTGGTTCACTAATGCCCTTTAGAGAAGGAAATCTGTCATCCCTACCAGGTCTGGTCTACATGTGACTCTAGACCCACAGCATTTTGGTTGACTCTTAAGTGCTGTCTGAAATGGCCCTAGCTACTGGGTTCAAAGGGCAGTTGGGTACTGGTAATAAATATTGGCCCAGACAGTGTCACTGACAAATTGTGAATGAATTTTAAGATAAACTACTGGAGAATTCTAGTGATGACTGGAAAAGATGGCGGTGGCTTGGAGCAGAGATAGCTGAAAGCAGACCTGATAGAGATTTTTAATAACTTGAGGGCTTTAACTAAAATAAATAAACATAATCTGTTTGCAAAGGTTGAAAGATCGATAATAGGAGAGCACAGTTTTAAGGCAATTCGCAAAGCCAGGAAAATTGTTTTTAGTACAGAGATAACAAAGTGTAGAGCTGGATGAACACAGCAGGCCGAGCAGGAAAGCTGATGTTTCGGGCCTAGACCCTTCTTCAGAAATATGTTTTTAATTTTGTTTTTAATGTTTTGTTAATATTTTGTTAATAATGTTTTTAATACAGTTCAGATTTGGAGTGCATTGCCTGGTAGGGTAGTGCAAATATATTCAATAGGAGCTTTCAAAAAGGAATTGTATGAATGCTTGAAGATGGAAAGAGTGTGGGGGAGTGAGGCTAACAGGATTGCTGTTTGAAAGAGCTGGCACAGATTTAATGACAATCTAAGGCACTGTACCAGCCTTCATTCCATCTTGACGGTACAGTCAAAGAAGTGTCTGTACTTATAGTAAATATTAAATCTATAATGTTAACTGAATTTTTTCATGCACTGAGGGTTTTATTTAAAACATTTTATTTGTAATGTTTATCACCTCTACCTTTAAAATGGTAGTGTACTTTCTTATAATCTTGGAGCAAACGGTGAATAGAGAAAACATTACAAACATGATTTAAGTTCTTCCAGTCTGATTCAACCATTGAGTTTTAATGAAACTATTAAGGTTCAATCACTTGTTAAAATTCTTCTACTATCTATTGTCCTAGTAGTGTGGGGGTATCCTAGGTTTGATTTCTCAACGTTTGTATGTTGTATGTAAAACGATATTTAACTTGTTGGATTTTATTTTCTGTACCATATACCATAAATTGTTTATTCCTATTTGAGTAATAGTCTTAGGTTAAAATGATATAGATACTAAAATTGCTGCATGCTACCTTTATAGTAAGAAATAATTTGCTCAATAGTATCGACTTTCATTACTATACCTGACCCTGCTGTGCTATGAACTATCATTCTGCATTTAGTTTCAGCATTCATTGTAAATATGCTTTAGAATGATGCCCTTTATTGATCAATAGCTGTACATAAACTTAACTACAAGGACAAAATTTTTGAAAACTCAAATGGTGTAACTGCATTTTAATTTTTGTTTGCATAACCTCTATGTACTATGACAGGAACAAATTCTCAATCGTGTTCTAATAAAATATTTATTACAGTTTAAAAATGGATAATGCATTAGTCAAAAATGCCATTGAAAGATTCTGAGATTGGACTTTTTATGTAAATTGTGAGGGTTACCAAGTATGTCATTTATTCATGCTTTCTGCCATGTTTGATCCACGATCATGAGAATGTACTCTGTCACCTTCTCAAGGGCGCCCAGGGTTGGGCAATGACCTTGCCAGTAAATTTTTGAAAATGGTAATTGGTGAGTAGGTATGCATAGCTTGAATCACGCATTATTTCAATCTGTCTCACCACTGGATGCTGACCCTTTCCTGTGTCTTAAAAATCAAAACTGTGTGGGGCCAGCAGTAGTGCACACATTGTGTGCTGCATTGCAGAGTGAGAGACTGGAATTAAGAGTTGACTTTAACTATTTTTTTTGTGCGTGGACACAATCTGAGGAAAATGTTAACTTCTGCTTGCTTCTCTCAGGTCCTTTGGCTACTGAGTTTTGATGATGAAAAGAACACACTGGCAGATGCAGTGGACAAGTACTGTATTGGCGTACCACCTATCCAGTGGCTGGCCTGGATTCCTCAACTCTTGACATGCTTGGTTGGCTCAGAGGGCAAACTTCTTCTCAACCTCATAAGCCAAGTATGTATGTGCATGTAAAAGCTTATGCTGAGCTCCGGTTGTTTTGAATGAATGAGGAAAATTGATCTGAGTCAAGGATCAAGATATTTCTTATCAACTTGCCTCATCCACTGACTTAACGTATAAGAATCCATTTGGCCCTTTTTGCCTGCTGTGCAGTTCAGTAGGTTCTTGGCTGATTGAACTGCGGCCTGTTTAGAGAATTTGGTGGGGGGGGGCATGGTGGCTCAGTAGTTAGCACTGCTGCCTCACAGCACCTGGAGGCCCAGCTTCGATTCCACCCACAGGTGACTGTCTGTGTGGAGTTTGCACATTCTCCCCATGTCTGCATGGGTTTCCTCCCACACTCCAAAGGTGTGCAGGCTAAGTGGATTGGCTATGCTAAATTGCCTGTAGTGTTCAGGGATGTGTAGATTAGGTGGGTTATAGGGGCATGAGTCTGGGTGGGATGCTCTGAGGGTCAGTGTGGACTTGTTGGGCCGAAGGGCCTGTTTCCACACTGTAGGGATTCTAAGTCTAACTAACTCTATTTTTGTTGTTGCATAGATTAAGCTTGTATTCCTTGAATTTGGAAGATCTAGGGTGATAAATTGAAGTGTTTTAGGAGTTTAAAAGATTTGATCTGTTAGATGTTGAGAAACTTTCCTCTCTGGCAGGGAGAGTCCAGAAGAACCTTGAACTTTGGGCAATTCACTGCTGATATCAGGAAGTCTGGAACTTGCATTAGGCAAAGCTGTTTCAGATATTTCAAAACTGTGATTCATTTATTTTGGCAGGCACGTATATTAAGGAATGTAGAACCCAATGGGAAATGGAGTTAAGAAACAGATCAGCCATGATCTCATTTAATGATGGAAGCTCCTTCAACTCATTTCTATGTTTGTTTTTTTTTATCGGAAGTGTCTAACTCATTCATGTTCAATCTTGCAAGGATGATGGAAATTTAATGCACAAAAACTGTCGCAACTATTCCATGTATCATGGCAATCCCTGGCTTGAAGTAAAATATATATTTTTACATTGTGTCTATTTTTCATCACATTGTGTACGATTAGACTGTAATTGGCAAAACCATACGTATATTTGGGCACATTGGGAATTTTAGCCTAAGTTAAAGACTGGTTGATGTCATTGTGACTGTTTCCTTCCCCATCAGTTACCTGCATGAATGCTGTGCTGGTACACATATTTTACACATGTTAAGTGGTGCTGATATGTGATTGTTGGGTTCCACCAATTAACATGGGAAAGAAAGGAAAAACTATTCAACTGACCAATCTGCAAAATTGTTACTGTTTAATCACCCCACCCCCTTTCAGACTTATTGTTTGCTATCAAATTATGATGGATTATATATACATAAATACATCACTTATTGGGTGTCTGTCTTAATTAATCGCTAATTGCAAGGTGTCTCTCTGAAACGTTAAATTGACTTGGTGAGTAATTAACCTCATCAGGTGATTATGGGTTCTCGTCTCCTTCCTGGACTTGGTGCATGATCTTGGCTGAGGTTTCCCATGCAGTTTTGAGGAAATGCTGTAAGTAGAGGTGTTGCTTATCACACTAAGGCCAAATCTACCTTCCTCGTTTGGCTATCAAGTATCCATGACACCATTTTGGAGATATCCTGACGATCAGGATGGTGTTCTGACCACTGTTCCTAATTCAACCAATGTCAAAAATCCAACAGCAATGTTGGAAGGAACAGGTAAAATTGAATTTATGGCTGCCAAAGCCTTCTACTGAGGTTTTCCTAACTGTGTCAATAAATGTGGAGCTGGAAAAGCACAGCAGGTCAGACAGCATCTGAGGAGCAGGGACGTCAACGTTTCGGCCCTAAACTCTTCGCCAGGCCTGGGGAGTGGAATGGAGGAGGGTGGGGCTGGTGGGAGGGTAGGTGGGATGGAAGGTGGATTTAGGTAAGGGGTTTTTGTGGTTGATCAGTGGGAAGGGTAGAGTGGACAGGTGAGTAGGAAGATGGACAGGTTGGGGGTGGGGAGGTTTTGAAGCTGGTGAAGTCAATATTGAGGTCATTAGGCTGCAAGCTCCCAAGGCAAAATATCAGGTGATGTTCCTCCAGTTTATGTTTGACCTCACTCTCACAGTGGATGAGACCAAGATGGACATGCCACCAAGGGAGTGGGACTGGATGGCAACCGGAAGGTTTGGTTGGTTGGTGCGTGCAGAGTGCAGAAGCCCTGCAGATTAGTCCCTGAGTTTGTGTTTGGTCTCTCCGAGATAGAGACCACGTTGGGAGCAACGGATACTGTAGACGAGGTTAGATGAAGGAAATGTGAATCTCTGCCGAATTTGGAAGGATTACTTGGGGCCTTGAATTGAGATGAGGGGGCCGGTGTTGCACCTCCTGAGGTTGCAGGGATAGGTAGCACCAGGTATGGTGGCGGGGTTGGTGGGAAGTGTGGAGCTGACGAGGAAGTCGCGAGTGAGCATTCCCTGCGGAAAGCAGACTGGGATGGGGAGGGGAATATCTTTTTGGTGGTAGGGTCTGATTGTAGGTGGTGGAAATGTCGGATTACAATGCGTTGTATTTGGAGGTTGGTGGGAGTGGTTTGAGAGGACTAAGGGGACTCTATCCTTATTGTTGCTGCAGGGAGAGGATTTGAGGACAGAAGTGCGGGAAATGGGGGAGATGCGATTGAGGGCATCCTTAATGATAGAGGAGGAAAGCTATGGTCCCTGAAGTAGGACGATATCTGGGAAGTCCTAGAGTAGAACACCTCATCCTGGAAGCAAATGCGGTGGAGACGGAGAGATCGTGAGTATGGGATAGCATTTTTGCAGGAGGGTAAGTGAGAGGAGGTGTAGTTGATGTAATTGTGTGAGTCAGTGGGTTTGAAATGATTCTTCTAGCCATGTGTCTGGGTCTTTTGGAAAATCGCTGATTATAATTGCTGTGCTCAATCAGTAATCCTATTATTGTATCATGCGAGTGACCACTCTGACGAAGGAACGTGAACCTGAGATCTTTATTTTCAAATTTAGCTGATCATTTTGAGATCATTTTGTACACAAAATGCTTTTGTCCACATCACTGCCTTTGGCACAGTTCAGTTGTTTAATAAGCACTTTGAAATTGCTAAGAGTTCAGTTAAAAAGGTGTTGTTTTGAACATAACTCAATGTCCATATATCTTTTATTTCCAGGTTGGAAGAGTGTTCCCCCAAGCTGTCTATTTCCCAATTAGAACATTGTATTTAACACTGAAGATTGAGCAGCGGGAACGTTACAAAAGTGGTAAGGCTTTGGCTGGTGTAGAAATGAGCTGTTTTCAAGTGGTTCTTGAGCCAGTTGGTACAGCAAGAAGAGTTTTCACAAGTGGTGGACATGCTGAGATGCTGTGATCACGCTACCCTGGAGGTGGTGTTGCTAGGATTAGGAGCAAATTGCAAGTGGAATTGCAGTTCAGTTACACTTGACTTCTATGTAACAGAATCCTCTCAGTGCTTCATTCCTAAATTGTTGTTCGGTTCTGTCAAAGCTTCAGTCCTTGTATTAATAAAAGGCTAGGTAAGTAATTACGTTCATTTCAGGATTGTGATCCCCAGCTAAAGATTCTTTGACCAGTTTCCATCATTGTTGCAGAAGATTTTTGTGATAATAACTAGTAGGAGAAAAAGGTGTCCACCTACCAGTGTGATTTAGGTGAAGTTGGTTCCTACTGAGACCTTTTTGGTTTTTCATACTTTGTCAAATACACAACAGGCAATGGTGGTGACAAACTGAGAAAACTATTACTGATCATTGAATTTCTTTGTGAATGTTTTATTAGACCCAGTCGTGTTAATTTAACAGTGATTTAAATTGGAATTTTAATGGATAAAATTGTTTTACAAGTGATGTTCCCTTAAAGTTAAATTTTTATTTTGCGGGTTTGTTGTAAGAATTCAAAAGGTTAGTACATTTTTTTGGTTTATACATTAAAACTGAAAGATTTTGATTTACCTGAGGTTGGGATTCCAAAAAAAATGGTCCTCTCCATTTCATCCACACAAATGCCAAATATGCAATCTGTGCAGTAACCATTTTATCTTGCAAGAATTTAAGTTGTTGACTGTACCATTGTACAAATTGGTTTGTGAATATTGAGAAATCTTTAATAATTCGTTTGTATGGGTTGCAGTGCCTTTTGTTATCTGTGACCAGTGTGGCTATTAGGATTACAGATTGCAGCCTGAAGTTCTGAAGCAAACAGAGAAATGTAGGTCAGTAAATTGGAAAGCAGTCTGTTTAGTGAGGACAGGATGATGCTCACCCTGGCAGTGCATGTGAAGTCAATTGATAAGTATTTTAAATCCTTGGGGGAGGATATGTAAATTCCAGTGAATAATGCATGCTTACATGGTTTATTTAGTTCATAAAAGGTTGTTATCTTTTACTATGATGATAAATATGTCACGTGTGATACCTATTTATATCTGTAGCTTGAATTTTAATCGCATTTTGCAAGTATTATTTAAGTTTGTGTTCTTGGATTAGCTTGAGGAATAAGAAATATTGTGAAACTGTTAAAGACCATCTTTCTGTTTTGTTGCAGACTCGGGACAGCAGCAGCCGGGTTCAGTTGGCACCCAGTCTCACTCTGCCTCTGACCCTGGACCAATACGAGCCACAGCACCAATGTGGCGTTGCAGCCGGATAATGCACATGCAGCGAGAGCTTCACCCGACCCTGCTTTCATCCCTAGAGGGCATTGTGGATCAAATGGTGTGGTTCCGTGAAAACTGGCATGAAGAGGTTTGTTTGTCTAGCTATTGCTCTCTCTGTCCTTGGCTGTCTCCCTTTCTCTCTCTTTCCTCGTTTTGTCTCCTCCCGTCTAACCTCCCCTCTCAACCCCTCTCCCTCCTCCTACCCATCTCTCCTTCCACCCCTACCTTAACGATATCTGTTCTGGGCTAGAGAGGAATTTAGAGCAGGTGGGGTAGGATCCAGTTGTTTTGGCCCACAAAGGTATCAGCGACATAAATTTTAAGCAACTTGGGACTAAATTCTATCCATTTCAGTTTGTAGCTTTTTTTTTTTTAACTGCAACTTACTTTCCCACCTATTTTAATATCATCTGCAAGTTTTACTGTAGTGCCTTCTATCCCTGCATCTAAGTCATTAATACAGATGGTAAATAGTTAGGGCCTGAGAACTGAACCCTATGGTATCCGATTAGTTACGACTTGCCTACCAGGAAAAGATCCATTTGTCCTGACTCTCTGGCTCCCCAACAGAAAACAATTTTCTATCCAAGCTAATAGATTATCCCAACCCCACATGATCTTAACATTTTGTGCGTGACCTTGTCAAATGCCTTAAGAGTTTCCTGTACTACAGTTATGACTAAGCTTCTAAAGTGCTTCATTAGCTGTAATGTCTTTTAGGATATTCTGTGGTCATGAATTATACTATATGAATGCAAGTTCTTTTTAATAAAACTAATGAAGAGCTACTTGAGAGGGCAAGCAGGGCCTAGGTTTAACATCTCATCTGAAGAATGGTACTTCCAACTATGCTCTCTGTTCTCCTTGGGATTGTTGGTCTACATTTTGGGCTGAAGTTCCTGGAGTGGGACTGGTTTGAGAGAATGCATAGAATTGGTTGGATCCCATCAACTTACTGGAAAACTTCAAACTCTTTGGATGGACCTTAAGCTACAGTGTGTAGAGAGGGGTGGTGAATATGCTTTGTGTGGTGCTGGGGGATGTGCTGAGAAGAGGAAGAAGCAATTAATATGGTGGTTCCATTGCACTGATTGACATTTGATCTGCCTTTTTCATTGTCCATTCTTCTGAGTACTGCACTAATTGTTTTGTCAAAATGATGTATTCACCTTGCTGATCAACCATATTTTTGAAGGAGCAGACATTCCGAATGCTTCAGTGACTGGTGCCAAGTCCACAATAGTTCACTGAAGCAGTGAAACCCTCATTCAGTCTCCTCATTAGTCTTTAAACTTCCTAGGTTGGGTGTTGAAAACATGCTTCACTATCTATCTAGCCCAGAAAGCCTGAAGTTTGGAGAGTTTTGAGACTTATTTGGGACAGTGAAAGATTTGCAAATAGCACCTTTTATAACTTTGCTGTCCTAGAGTGCTTCTCAGCCAATTAAATATTTTCTAAAATAGTCACTGTCAGTTTAGGAAACATGACAGCCAAATGCAGCACTCTGAATGAGCCAGCATAGGCTATGCGCTTAAGTCTCCGGAGTGGGACTTCAGCCCTTAACCTTCTGAAACAGAAGCAAATGTATTGTGGAAACTTCTGCACATCATGTTTATAACGGCTAATTTTCTTCTGATACCCAGGTGCTGAGACAACTACAGCAAGGATTGGCAAAATGCTACTCTGTGGCTTTTGAGAAGAGTGGAGCTGTGTCTGATGCCAAAATCACACCTCACACATTAAACTTTGTTAAGAAGCTTGTGAGCACTTTTGGAGTTGGTCTCGAAAATGTATCCAATGTGTCCACCATGTTCTCTAGTGCAGCCTCAGAGTCTCTGGCAAGAAGGGCTCAGGCCACAGCGCAAGACCCAGTTTTCCAGAAACTCAAAGGACAGTTCACAACAGGTGAGCGAGGCATGGTGATTTGCTACTTAAGGCAATTTAGATGTTGATTTTGCCAGTGAGATTGCTCATCCACAAGACAAGCAGGATCTCAAAGAATGGTTTGATGCTGTTTATGGCATGGTGACTGTGATGGCTTCAGGTTGTTGAATTTTATTTTTAAGAATTTTCCTCAATTGTCTAAGACTTTCAGAGACCTTGTCCTCCCAATCCCATCCGTGACTTCCAGTAGCCCCCTGAAATCTCTGATTCTGGCTTTTTGTGCACTCTGTTGGATTTCCTTGGCTCCACAATTACCAGCCTTGCCTTCAGCTGACTCCGCTCTAAAACTGTTTAGTTCTATCCAGTAAGATGCTCTTCAAGCCCTTCTCATTTGTTCTGATGTTCCCCATGTGATTCAGTTTTAAATGTAGTTTAACACTCCTGTTAAGTATTCTGGGGCACTTTTCTGCATGACAGATGCTGTATAAATGCAAGTTATTGGTTATTCATTAAGAGGCTGTGTAGTTCAATCAGAAAGCTCCAAAATTTACTTTACGGCCTGTGCTAACAAACCATTCTTAGTCAAGACAGCCCCACTGATGTTATTATCAACTCACTGAGTCAGTATCAATGTGGGAAAAGTGGGCATTGTTGCTGCCAATGGTGACTCTGCAGTGAGCCCTGTTCATTGTATGCATGAGAGGACATGATGGGGCTCTGACTTAGTGCAATCAGTTGCTGCTTTTTGAGTGAGGCACCACGTGGAAGGAATTGGTACTTGATGTTTTTAAGACCGAGGCAACAGGGAATCTATCTTCAGGAGAGAAGGGCCCAAAATTGCCAAGAGATAAAAGAATAAATGTAAGCTTCCTTTTATAGACAGGCAGCCTTTATATAAAAGACTTATGACAGATTGGCTGCAGCAGTTAATATTATTTCTGAGTTAAAAACAAGTTATTTCTCTGAATAACTGAAGAGAAACTGTTTCCAATGGCTATATGATCAAGAATCAATGGGTTTAGACGTAAAGTGGTAGGCAAAAAGAGCCCAGGGCAGCATGAGAAGCTTTCTTGTGCAATGAGCAGTTTAAAATTTGTAAAAGTAGTGGAAAAACCTTCAGTAGTAGCATCTAAAAGGGAATCTGACAAATAACTGAAGGAGAAAAAGTTGCATAGATACAGGGAAACAATGGGGAAGTGGGTCTAACTGGCTTGCACTTCAAAAGAGCTAGTGCAGAATCAATGGGCCACATGGCCTCCAGCTTTGTTATACTACTCTATGATTGATTTTGCAAGGCTCCAGAAAATAAATCTAAACAGGCTATTAGGGAAGACTGATCTATGCTGGCATTTTATGTTTCAAAAAAGGTCTTCTCCTTGCCCTTCTTTATGAAATCTCCTCAGCTTATGCTATTTCTTTCTCTCTCGCATAGCATTGTGTAGTGTGCTACTTTAATGTAGCTTTAAATTTTCAAGACCAAATATAATTTCCATCCTATTTTAAATTAAATTCCTGTATCACTCCACTTGTCCCATGCTGACAAATAGTATTTTGTAGTCAAAGAACTAGAATGGAGGCAAAACCTGAAGCAAAGGGGTGATGAAAAGCTTCACCAGTTCCTTACATGAGGAGTTCAGTGAGTGTTAATTAAAAGGGATCATGATGAGAGTTTGTGTATTATATAACAGGGGAGATTTTGTATTTTGTACAGGCACATTAAGCTTTGTACCAGAAGTTAATTCTTTTATAATGATATACTCAAAATACAATTACTGTTTATGTTCTTCAACATGTAACAAGTAAGCTCCTTCCTGTCATTAGAAAGCAGATTATTTTCCTTAAGTTATCAACATAATTAAATATAAAATTAGTTTAATTCTAAATTTCTATCCCATAAAAACTGAAGTAGCAATAGTCAAATTAATAATTTATTCCACTCATGAGCTGTTAATAAAAGATAGATATAAAATGAGGTATACAATTAGTGTAAAAGCATTCTCTGTCTAGGTACAATTTCATAAAACAAAACCCCTGTCTTAC